GCAAGACTTACAGAGTAAATCATTATAGTATCATTATCATTATCAATATGACACTTATGAAATCTGGTCTGGTCTTTCAGGATATACTTCAGAGAAAGAATATATATACAGTATTTCCTTCTCTTACACAATGAAATAACTCAAGATTCTAAACAGATATAAATTATTTTGAGGGCTATTTCATTGTTGAATATAATGGTATGCTTACTTGTACAGAATGACAATTTAAATTAAGGGTTAATGTTCACTTTTTTTTTCAGATATTTAACTTGAGAACCATGTATAAATCAGATTCATTTTCTTTGAGAGAATAACCACTACCATCACCACTATAGTTGTTCTCATTTCATCTATACAAAAAAAACCAAAAACCCAAACCAAAACAAACAAACAAACAAACAAACAAAAAATGGACCTAAATGATGATAAAATTTTTAAATAGAAACTTACAACCTTTAGGTGCAATTCCTAATGTAGTATTCACATTGGATTTTAGGTACTATGTTTTAAACGGAGTCATTTATTTCCTGATTTTTTAACAGACCAATTTGAATGTTAACACTTGTTCTAAGACCATCAGTTTAAAAACTTTAAAAAGAAAAAAATCTCTCACCTATAGGAAACAATTAGGATGCTTAGGGTTAGGCTATCTTGGCTAACTGAAATGCTATGGTTAAGTCAAGGTAACTGGATTCACTTTATAAGTACCATATCCCAGAACAGATTCTCTGATGGATCATTATTCTGAGGATTATTCACTCCAAATTGTACTTGATGCAAAAATTCTGGAAATACAGGAGATTCTGGAAATACTGGAAATACTACATCTCCTGGATAATGGCCCCAGAATATTCCTCAGAATTAATGATCCTTTGCTTAATTCTCCTATAAGGGGTAAATATTAGAGGCTCACTAGCTGGGCTCCAATAAACCAGTGTGTTATTCTAACAGAAGTACAGCAGTAATTAATTTTTTTCAACATTAAATTCTCAGAACTGGTACTGCATTCACCCCTCATATATGGGCAAAATTATTTTTAAGAATCAGGTAACTCTGGACCAAAACTTCCTAAACAGCGTAAGTCTTTCTGCAAATGAACGGCCTAGTAATTGAAAGTTAGGGAGAGGTATTTAGAACAGTTTTTAATCTGTAATTAGGGTTTAAGACTTAATGCAGTGGCTGTCATCTAAGATTCATTCAAAACTATTCTTTACACACCATATTAAAGACAAAGGCTGGCTCAAATATAAATGAAGTATAAAGGTAACATAAAAGATTGCAATATAAAGCACATTAAATATTAAAAATAAAGGTGTATCATATATAAGATATGAAAAACTTAAGATTCTGCATTTTGACCCCTAATGAGATTCTGTATTTGGCATATCTGATAATAACAGTAACTACCATTTATTTAGTATATACTATGTGACAAAAATGGTTCTGGACCTATGATGTACATATAATCTCATTTAATCCTGATAATACTTCTGCAGATTAAATACTGTCTCTATTTAAGAGAAAGAGAAGATAAGGTTCAAGTTGTCATTAAAAGTAAAAAGAAGAACTAGAGTGGGGACTTACCAAGTCCAGACTTCAAAACCTCTAACCTTTTTGTAAGACCACTTTGCCCTTGACAAAACTAAACAGAGCTGATCCTCATTACTATTAGTTCCACATGTACAAATTTACCTACTCACTAACATGTATTTGTAACCCCCCAAATCAATTTTTTTAAGAAATTTTAAGTCATCTCTCTATCCAACATGGGGTTCAAACTTACACCCCTGAGATTAAGAGTCGCATGCTCCACTGACTGAGCCAGCCCGGTGTGCCGCTCTCAAGTCAGTTCTTGTAGCGCTTCTAGGGTCATTCAGGAGCAGTGAAAATTTGTCCCCTGGTGCACGTGTGCATTCCCAACTAAAGTATGGCATATAGTAAGCATCACTGTTTCAGCTCTAACAGTGTAAACAAGTGTCCTTTTGTGGTTTATTTGGTGCCACATTTTTCAGTTTTGTGTTGGCAATTCATTGTTTTAAATGAACCCCAAGCATAGGGCTAAAATCCCAAGCACAGGGCTAAAATCCTGACACCGGTTCCTAAGCGTTAAGAGGGCCATGATGTGCCTTAAGGAGGAATGCATGTGTTAGATCAGCATGGGTTTGTTCAGGCATGGGTTATGGGCTGTTGGTCATGAGTTCAATATTAATGCATCAACAATATGTATTAAGTAAGGTGTTTTTAGACACAAAGATGCGCAAGACAAGGTTATGTACTGATTGACTGATAAAAAATGTCGTGACCAGAGGCTCACAGGAACCTAGCCTGGCACTTCCCTTAGGAGCAACAGTTCAGTATTTGCTAATTAGTGTTCAGGATGACTTTATAGGACATACCTATGGTGAACGGTAAAAAAATCCAACTGAAAACTTTCCCCCCCAAGAATGTATCCATTTATATTTCAGTATAAAAGGTTCTTCTCTCATTTCCTTCAAAGATAATCACTAAATCTGTGTAGTCATTATTCATCTGCGTTCGAGAAAGAAAACTTTTGTTGCCATTGGGTTTCATGGGTTGTAGCTACATGTGTTTGACTTTACTCAGAAAATTAATGTCTCTTCAAAGTAATCTGGCTTTCCAGTGTGATAATCTAAGGAGTTAAATTTCATTCTTATTCCTTGATGTCATGGGTACTGTTTAAATATGACCATTCTGGGAGATTATGATTTTTAAGACTAGACTGTTACATACAGTCTAGACAGTATGAGCAACAACAATAACAACAACAACACTTCGCAGGAATTTAAGAATATCAGCACAAATTGGAACTCTTACCTTTCTTGTCCAAGTCAGATATTTTATTGAAAAAAAAAAAAAATTACAGTACTTAAAAATCCAAACAAGGACAATTCAGGGTTGAAAGAAAGAAAACCTGAAGGAGCCCATTGTCTTCAGTAAAATTTGAATACAAGAAAATGTAGACCAGGAAGACAGTTTATGGCCTAATGCACTAGTTCCATGATAAACACACATATATAGTATATCTCCATCAAGTGAAACTTAATCACCTTTTTACAATTTAGAGAGGGACGGCAGCTTTTACTATGGTTAAGCCATGTATCATCAATACCATGAAGCTAGCCTATCAGATGTAATAGCTTCTATAAAATACCACGGTGAGATTGCAGTAAGCCTAGAAAATGGGCTACAAATCCCAGCTATGCTCAAGCAAGCAGTGAACCAAAAATAAAAATAGGTAAAACTGAACCAAGAACTAGATAGCATTCATCTAGATTCATGATTGGTAAGGCAAAGTTCATAGGCCAAGGTTTTAAAGTGACTTATTCAGATCTCAAAGACAGTCATTATACAAAATAAAATAAAAGCATTTATGTAATTCAGAAAAAGAAAATCATGATTTTTTTACTCCAAAGGACATAGCACAAAAAAGCTTACTTACAATGAGCAAACACCACATTATTGTACCTCTAAAATATCACTTTAAATATGCAAAGGTAAAGATACTCAAAGTTGCACTTTATCAAATTTAAGCTCTCCAGTTTAGACAAGCAATCTAAAAGATGTCACATACTTTCTGCTTAATACATTTTCTGAAATCTTTCAGATTGTAATACCTTTAGGTAAAAGAAATGTCAACTTTAAGTTTCTTTCCCAATCATCATTATTGAAGTTAGCCATTAAATGCTGAATTAACAATTAATCCATACAACAATATAAAAATACATGTATTAAATCACAGTTTTCATCAATGATTGGAACTTAATAAAAAATACTCATCATTTTAATATACCATTTTGAAGAATTCAAATGGTCTGAATGTTGTAGAGTGTCTAAATTATACCATCAATAGAAATGTTACATTTTCCCCTCTGCTTGTGAAAACGAGCTCATGCAGTATTTCTGACACTCACGGTTGACACGTATGGTCTGCCAAGGGTACGTAAGCAGGTCTCACTTTTAAACAGGACAATATGACTCAGAGGCATACAGTATTAGTTGAAATACCAGCTTTCACATGATTTCTATAAGCTCAAAGCCAAAATGATAATTCTGAGTGGTTTTAGGTATCAGACAAAGCAGATAATTTAAAAAGTAATAGCAAATGATTCTACTAGCACAGACTAGTCATCACTGTGGTTAGCTTAAAACTAGGATGATCTTTTTGTAGTACAATGAACACTATACTATAAAGTACAATGGGTTTGCAATACAGAGCAGATTTTCCAAGTAGAAAGCAAACTGAACAAAACAGAAATTCTAGTAAAGATTATCAACCTTACCTACTACTCATCTTAGCCCTTGTTAAAATACCCTGAGTAAAATGCAAATATATTAAATAATGCTGGTTATATAAGACTTCTCTAAAAATGAGCCATAAATGTCAATGCATCATGTTTATTTACAACAGTCAGATATGTAAAAATTGGTTCTTAACCAGTCACAATATAAACATTAATACTTATGTGAGATCTGGAAGTTTTCCATTTTCTAGCTTTTGTTAGCATTTTGGCAAAGCAAGTAATACATAAATGGATTCAATGTAAAAAAAAAATCATAAAAGAGAAAAATATATAAAATTTACAGTAGTTCTACCCACCCTGGGCCAACCTAGATCCCTAGAAAGCCTCCCCAACCACGTTCACTTCTGACTAAAGGAAGAATACCAGTCCTCCAGCAAAAACAGCCCCATCTTTTCATCAAAGAGGCTCTCACTTCAATGATATTCCTCCAGGGGAAGAGGACAGGAGCCAGGTTCCCTCGAATGCCATTCCCCAGATGTTCAAAACGTAACTAATTTATTAGCATTAGAAGATTTGGTTTATAGGGGAATCTCACTGGTCCAGTTTGTAGCCTACAAAAAAATGGATTATTTTTAAGTATAACATTAGAATATGAATAAAGGATGAGGATGTGGCTTTTTATTCCATAGAAATGGATACATTTCCAAACATGACAATTAAACAAAAAAGCATGCCTACCATTGAAGTTGTGGTCCCTCCTGATTTTTTAATGTTCTTGGAAGGCATTCCATGAAGGCGACTGAGTCTAGCTTGAAAACCTGGAAAATCAAAGTCCTCAATTTAGGAGATTCTATGATCATTGTTCCTATCTGTACAGAATTCAAAATAAGTCTGAGGAAGGAAACATCCTGAAGAGTAGTGGGGAAAATGCAAAACACACTTAGCAGATCTGAAGCAACGCCCGGAAGGGCTCTAATGAGGTTAGCACCTAACTATGGATTATTTAAGAATTAGGGTATTATTCAGGGCTTTTCTTTCCTCCTAATTTACCTTTATAACATTTCAACATTTTCACAATGGTCCTAGCAAGGAGGCAAGTCAACCTTTCTAATAATTAGAATGCGTGATTAATACAGTAGATGAATTACTATCTGACGTTATGTCTTTATAGGATCTTGTGCTAAGACGCTTTCATTTCCATTTTAGCCTATCCTCTTTCAGTGGATATTCCTAGATGCACTCTAAGTCCACCATATTCAGCAGTCAGCAAGTGCTACTGACCTCTTCTTCCCGGATGCGACATTAGAGGGAAAGAACCAGTTAAGATACTTTCAAAGACAGGATCTGGTAAATTTTTGTCTAGCTCAGTAGGATCTTCCTTTTCCCACCAGGGCACAACTCCAGTGATGCCACACGCTCCACCTGATTCCTTCTCATAAAACCAGTCACTCTGCTCATCGTCACCTGTGCAAATACAAGAAATCCCCCAAAGATTCAGTTTTATTATCCAAATACACAGAGTTATCAGATTTAAAAAATGCAAGATAGCAATTAAATCTGAATTTCAGAAAAAGGATTTTTCATATAAATATATAATACCTGCACAAAATTTTTAATATGTCTAAATACTGCATGGGGCACACTTATATTAAAAAATTATTTATTATATATCTAAAAATTAAATTTAACTGGGGATCCTGTATTTTATCTGTTAACCATTTACATAATCAATACAGAAAACTTATTCTACACCAGAGCTTCACAAAAAAGTTTTTTAATACCACAACAAGAACTGCCATCAACAAAAACATAAGCTGTTATGTTTTAGAACCAATTAAAAAATGTGAAAAACCGTAATACTGGTTAATTCTAAGGCAAAAACTATAGAGAACTCCATTTAAGTTACTTTTTCCAAATTAAAGAAAAACAAGCCTTAATCTCCTACAGAGAATTAAAAGTATAAAACTATAGAACCCGTTCTCTGCAGCTGATAATGGTATAAAATTTGCTTAATTTCATGATTTGTATGGAGTGTAAAAGGGGAAACCATCATGAACAGATGTGACTAAATGAAATTAATCTGATTAAGTTCATTAAGTAATAGTTGTGAAAAAGTTGATTTTAAATGAAAAGTGACAATACCACAGAGTTTACAAAGAAACTATACTGGACTATGACAAGCAAGGTATTTTTAAAGCAAAACACTATCCATAGTAAGTTGAACTTTTGGGAATATCCACGAGTGCAACCACGGAGAAATGATCCATTTCAAATTCAGTTCAAAATGTACTGGTGAATCGATAGTATTTTGTTTTTAAAACAAAATGTGAATCAAGAGTAGTTTGTTTTTAGAACAGGGATAAGGGGGGAAAATACAGAAGAAGGCATAAGAAGATTCTTAGGAAGACTTGTTTGTAGAGTCTTCATGATTCTAACACTGGTTTTTAAGAGGGTCATCACAATTGCCATAAAGTTTCCCCTTTTACAGAAAGAGATTTCTGATTTCCAAAATCTCTTTCTACAAACATTTTTAAAAGCACATTAGAAAAAACCCAAAACTTCAACTGGAAATGGCTTTATGGGAAAGAGCCGTACTTCAAGTTACGGGGGAGTGAAAAGTTTAAAGCATTTGGAAAACCAAAGCCACCAGTTTATTTCAATTGAGGATTTAATAAAAATTAATTTTTTTAAAAAAGTTACTTTATAAAGCACATAAATATTTAGTACTTTTACTGAGAATTAAATTAAAATTTCCTAGAACAGGTATAGGTACAAGAAAAGGGAGTCACTTTAAACTAATTAACCCTAGATCTTAACTCCATTTGAGATGTTATTACAGAAAAAATGAGGTTATTTTATTTTTGATGTGATACACAACTTTGTTCTTAATAGGGAGATCAAACAGCTAAAGATTAAGAACCTGAGTTCTGAAGTCAGTCAGACCAGTGAGAATTGCAGTGTTCTGCGACACTGGGGAAGGCAGCTCGACTCTATGAGCCTATAGGTTTCACCATACCTCCCAAAAAAGAATCTCCCAGGGTTTTCTTAAGAATAATATAAAATCTAAAGTAAACTGAATGGGGGGAAAAAAAAAGCACTTAGAAATGTAAAACATAATAAGCTCATAATAAATGCTGGTATATTATCTTAAACCACTTGAAGCTTTTCAAATATGGACAGGCTTGGCCAAAAGTTTTTTCATTTCCTTTCATTACGAAATGCAACATTTGTAGTAATTTTGAGCAGGCTCATTTATTAAACAAGAATTTGGGTATATTATCAAGGTAGTCAAATTCACTCTGAGCTCTGAGGTTCTAGCATATTTCAGCAAAGTCTCTTAACTTTACAAAGTCTATGGTCTTTAAAACAGAATATATATGGGTTTCTAAGTAAGCCAAAATGAATGATCATTTATTTTATTCCTACCAAGAGGAACGAACAGACTATGGGGAAAAAAAAAGCCTAAGTGGCCATCATTTCTTTTTTTTCTTCCTATCATTAGACTATAATTTAAAACTATAAATCTTGGGGTTTTTTTTCCCCCTTAGAACTTATTGCTTTCCTCTAAAGATTCTCAAGAAAGGCAGATAACATTTGTAGAGTGCCTCCTGTCCTCTTATTAAGGTTTTTTCTACTTTCTTCCCTAATAGGTAGTTTTAAAATAATACCCTCCAAAATTGTGAAAAGCTTCAGGGAACTTCAAAGATGTAAAAGATCGAAGTTGTAAGACAGGACTGTGTGACAGTTTACAATATTGAATTCATGAAAACTGTCTAATTACTTATAAACTAGGGAGGATGAATAAATGTCACGGCTAAATAAAAATGACAAATGACTTGTAAATCCACCTTTATTAATGCTTAAACAGTATTAAATGCATTTGGAATCAGGTGGAGAATCAGAACCAGTGTCTTGTGAACTTGAGAAGAGACAAAATTGTAAAGACTGAGGTATGCAAAGCTTTCTTAAGGAAGATAATCCTCCCTTAATATTATTAGCTCCACATACTAGCTTTTGGAGATAATCGATTACTTTAGGTTAGGAAGACAGGATACCCTTCCTAGTATCAAAAAGAACTAAAGGGGCACCTGGGTGGCTCAGTGAGTTGAAGCTTCTGCCTTCGGCTCGGGTCGTGATCCTGGGGTCCTGGGATGGAGGACCACATCGGGATCTCTGCTCAACAGGGAGCCTGCTTCCCCCTCTCTCTGCCTGCCTCTCTGCCTACTTGTGATCTCTGTCCATCAAACAGATAAAAAAATCTTTAGGGGAAAAAAGAAAAAAAAAAGAACTAAAGCCCAGTCCACTAAGTAGGTATGTGTGAGGTGAGCGGATTGCCGTCATCAACTTAGGAAGTAACTAGTAACAAGCACAACTTTAAAATGAAGACATTTTCCCCGAAGGAATTAAAAAAAAAAGAATAAGCATTTCAGTACCTTGTCTTCCCTCATCATTGGTAAATAAGCCAGCATCAGTGCTGCTGAGACTGCTGGAGTCACTGGAGTAAGGGAAAAGGGGGGAAAAAAAACAAAACAGATCAAAAGAACAATTGATCTCTCAGTCGTAAAATTTTAAAGAGACATGGCAGCTCAGAGATGAAACTTAAGCCTGACAAAGATCTGAAAGAAAATAAGATGATTTTTTTTTTTAATCAAACTGCAAATATTCTGGTTCCATTAACTACAGAGCATATTATTTTTGGCACATAAAACCACAGGCATCTAATGGGACCCTGACAGTAAGCCAGATGTGACTGCAACGAGGGGCTGTCACAATTGATGCATTTTATTATCTGCTTTCATCAAATGCTCACTGCTCCTTTCTTATGTCGTGCAATTCAGTCCAAGCCCCGAACACCACCGCTCAATAAAATGGGGAAAGTCTCAATCAAAAGCAGGCTAAGCCTTTCTTCAGCACATGAAATACAAGGGCCCGGGATGAAATTACTTTTCATGACCACATTTGCAAATATTCAGGAAAAGACATTATTTAAGAATTCACAACAACGCTATTACCTGGCAAGGAAGAAAAAAGTTTACAATGGTAACAATCCATTAAATCGAAGTTAAAAATCTCTCTGAGCAAGACCAAACTATGGAATACTGCCAATATTAGGGAGGGGGTGTATAACAAATAACAGTTTCTCCATACTTCCATAGAAGTTCGAGTATGATACAAAGTCGTATTTTACATACAAATTAAAACAAATAGCAGATATTCGATTGACATGAACCATCACTATTAGTTTTAACACAAGCCATGTGTAAATGAAAATCTAGTTAGTTAAAAAAAAAAACAAAAAAAACCCCACAAAAACCAGATCATCTAATAAGAAGCTTGGCCTCTAAAGAAAATTGACAACATTCTTTAAAGATTCTCATATACTCTCTTCTTCCAGCAATTCTTAATTTTAACCAATCAGGAAGCTCCCCAGGTGAATTTTATAACACTTTTCTCGTTAACAAGTACATCCCTGTAACCTGACTTACTAAACAAAACTAATCTGTTTAAAAATTATCCATTTTTAAAATATTTAAATTGAGAGTTCAGGACTAAAATCATAGATGAGATCTAAATCCCTATGTTTTCTGAATATAAAATATCATTTCAATTACTTGATTTTTAAAAATAAAAAAGTATAAGGATTCATTAAATGGCACATTTTCCCAAGTTAGTACCTTTTTCTTTAACTTTCTTCATATTAGGAGAACGTATCAAGCATCCTAGACTGCACAAGCATTAAGGAAAGAATACTTTCTTAAGACAATCACATCTGTAATTTCTTATTTACAAACACGCATGCTCTCCTATGCACAGTGATGTCCGAGTGTCAAAAACACTTTGGAAACTTCATCCTTTCGCTGTTTAGCTGTCCAAACTACTGTTAATTTTTTTTTCCTCTTCTGTGACTATGGCATAGTGCTTTCCTGTCTGCTTGTTCAATACAACCCAAATATACGGCCTTATCCTGCATACCTTGAGTCACAATTCTTTTTCTGAAATCCTTGAGGCAGCATGATTTTAAAATTCACAATTTTTCAAATTTTGGAAAGGTATGTTCCAAAATCCCTCATAGGGGCCTGGGGTAGCACTCCAGAATCAAACTTATTAATATATTTTTTCCTAAATAAATGAAGGAATATGCACATTAAATCCAGGTCAAGCTAGGTTGGGCCACAAATGAGTTAGTTTTTCACAGTTTTCAGAGTTCAGATTTACAGATAAACAACTGTGAGATATGCAACTATGTACTTTTTTTGAGGGGGGGGTACAATGATTTTCTAATTTCTGAGTTCAGATTTACCTCTTTTAATATTCTACATACAACCTGACTCATTGTTTACAAATGTAACTTGCAGACTAAAAATATTATGACATCCTGGATGGGATCCTAGAACCAAAAAAGGACATTAAAGAAAAACAAGGAAATTTTAATAAAGTACTGACTTCTGTTAATAATGCATCAACACTGGCTTATTAATTCTGACCACTGTATCAGAGTAATGTATTATATTAACAGTAATGGAGACTGGGTACAGGATATATGGGAACAGGATATACAGAAACTCTCTGCACTATGTTCGCAACTTTTTTATAAATCCAAAAGTATTCTATAAGAAAAAGTTTATAAAACATGCACGTGTCTATGGATATATAGATTTAATTTATATATGCATATAAATTAAATAAAATAATAAAATGTTTCCTATTAAAAATCTAAAATATGGATTTCAAGGCTCTGTATGGATGAGTCCTACCTAAATTCTTCCCATCTCCATCTCTGGTCCTTTTATTTATGTTCTTTTTCCAACTCATATCCCAATCTTCTACCTATTTTTTTTCCTTAGATTTTATTAAAATTCAAGTTAGTTAACATGTAGTGTATTTTTAGTTTTAGGGTTAGAATTTAGTGGTTCATCAGCTGCACAGAACACCAGTGCTCATTACACTGAGTGCCCTCCCTAACGCTTATCACCCAATGATGTCCCCCCAACCTCCTCTCAAATAACCCTCAGTTTGTTCCCTATATTTAAGAGTCTCTTACCATTTGCCTCCCTCTGTGTCTTTATCTTATTTACTCTTCTTAAAGAGAGAAGGAACAGACGTCCCCCTCTAAGAATGGCTTAGTCCTTAATGATCCTTGTCTTCATCTGGGATCTTTAAACACGTGTTTTAAACAATGTTTCCTTATTTACATTTCACCTGACATGTAGCTAGTTGCTCCAAGTACATCATGCAGTTGCTAGCACGTTCAATAAATCAGAACAAGAACTTCTATGGAAGCAAGGCTTTTCATGTTCGGCATCTGACAACCATTATGGCTTATCTCCAAGGACAACTCATCCCACTTTTCTTTTTTAGCCTGATACATTCCACAAATTGTCGTCAAATTACCATTTGTATACTAGTCCCAATCTGCTCATTTCCTGTATTTTTTATTCTTGAAACCAACACATTATCTGAGTATCCTCTTTTTCATTCACCGTCCCAAACACAGTCAACTTTCCATTGATTCCAACTTTTAAAACTGCTCTCCTATTTCCTTCCCCTCTACTATCCCTGCCTAATTCACCCCTCACCTAAGGATGGATTTGAGGTCAAAGCTAAATAAGACATTGTTACTGAGATCATGTTCCTTGAGAAAATATAAATCTGAGTTTCTTCATTATTAAAAATTCTTCACTGGCTTCCATTACTTACAGGATGAAACCCAAACTGCCACAGCACACAAGGCCTTCAAGACATGCCTACTGCTGCGGCCCAACCTCCATTTTGTTCCAGTAGTCATCAATTCTAAGTACTTTCCCAGATACGTCACTTTGCTTCACGATCCATGACCTCGCACCAGCTGCTCCCTGTACCCAGGAACATCATTTCCCTCCCTCATGCACTATCTGAACACCACTCATTGCTTGCTTGAACCTCAGCATCTACAGAAAGCCCTCCTTAACCAGTACTTTCTGCTCAGCACACTTCCTTTTCATTGTTTGTTTATCCGCGCTATTCCAAACTATGGGGCTGTAGGCCACAGGGTCTGTCGTATTTAGTAATCTTCCCACAAAAGGAATATGCATCTAACTCTAGGTGACACTAAAAATAGTTACACAGCTAAGTTTAAAAATAAAAGAAGGTGCACCTGGGTGGTGTAGTCAGTTAAGTGTCCGACTCTTGGTCTCGGTTCAGGTCATGACCTTGGGGGTAAGACTGAGCCCTGAGTCAGGCTCCACGCTCTGCACAGAGCTTAAGATTCTCTCTCCCTCTCCTTCTCCTCCCCCCTCCCCAGTGTGTGCTAAAATAAATAAATAAACCTAAAAAAAATACCAATAAAATAAAAAATATTTCTAAAAATTATTCTGGAGTGAAAACATCCTCTTTGAAAACTTGCCTGCTGGTAGCCTGATCATGGTTAATGGATACTCAAATATTTTTTACGATGAAGAAAAATGAAGAGAGTTTTATCTCCTTTTTCTTCCAGGGTAGGTGTCTGTCAATAAAAGGCAGACATCAATAAAGTAAGGGCTTGGAGGATCAATCCAAAAAATAGGTAATCTGTAAATAATCGAGAAACGGACACTTATCTTCACTCCCACACACCTTCCCTCCCCACCACTGAGCAAAATAATCACTTTCAAGTCAAGCTATGTGGTCCTCAGTCACAATGGCCCAACACTACCATACAAATAATTTTCATTCTGGTATAAAAATGCCAACTTTGGGGGAAGAAAAGCAGGTATCATAAACTTTTCAAAGCTTTCCTGAAACATTTTTTTTTTTAATTTTGAGCAATTTTTACTTCTTCAGAAAAATTATATAAACAGCAAACCATCCGTAATAAAGGACCCGCTTTTTTTTTTTTTTTTTTTTTTTTCCTGGATCATAGTTCTGTGTTTGGTTTGAAGAAGACACCTAAAAGGATGAACAGTTTCAATACTTTCTCATTTCCTGCAGTAGCATTAGTTCTATGTAAAAGAAAAATGATCACTTACCTTTTGACGCTGTCAAAATAGTACTTAACAATTATCATTGTGGTGTATACCTGCTTTCTAGAATAAACAGATTAGACTAGCTGCCAAAGGATCATTGCTTTTCTCATTTGTCTAATGACAAGATCAAGTGTTTCTAGACTATAAATTTTTATAATCCATAAATCGTCAGAATTCTCAGCAATCTACAGACCTCTTAAAATATCAAATAATACACAGTTAAGTGGTATCAACTTTTGATTCTCAAAAATCAAAATAAACTGATGAACTGTGACACTAAAAAGCACCAAAGGCTAAAGCTCTATAATTAAACAAATAAATAATCATAAATCCAATTCTAAGAGTTACAAATGTGCTGTTATTCAAAAGCACATTCATTCCCATTGAAAAACCATTTCCTTTCCTCTATAGCTGAAAATTAAGTTTTTACAACATAATCAAAAGACTTCGTGTAAATCAAATAAGCAATTTTGTTTTGTACTAAACATTGTAAGTTATAAGGAAATATAACTATGGTTAAACAGTAATATCACTATTATTATACTTTTTATTAGTATAATTTATAATTATTTTAAAACAGAATGAAAATATAAAACACATTCAAGCACAAACAACAGAGACACATATTTTTATACATAGAGAATATAAAAGTCACCTTTCACTCATGAGTTCATCTGAGACCTTTTGCTCTTCATAGTCCATTTTGTCCTTACTGGTCTGGCTTATTTCCTCACTTTCTAAAACTACTCCTTCATCTTGGATTTTTGGCCCTTGTCTAATTATTTTCAATTTCCTTTTTTTGACTTTGTTCTTGGTAAACTCTTGATATTGGTAAGCTCTGTCATTGTCCATGTCCTGATCTCTACAACCTTCAAGGGGCTGGGTCATTGTCCGTTTGTTAGAGATGTCCTGTGGGAGGTCAACTGCCATGCGTTTTACCTTTCTCCTTCTGCGCAGAGTTCTGTTCCCAAGGTTGTCCACAGCAAAATCCGATTCGTGCCACAGAGGTCTTTTTCCTCGTACATTATTGTTTAAGTTTGATGATGGCCTGCGCTTAGCCACTAACATTTGGTCATCAGAGTCACTATGATCTTTTTTATTATTATTGTGATTTTCTCTGTAGTCCTTGCTTGGTTCCTCTAAACTAGAATCCGTGCCTTCACTTAAGCAGTGGCCAGGCTCCCATGGGTGATGAACATTATACGACCTTCGTTTTCTCCCTCTCCTTTTCCTTGCCTGGCGTTTCAGAGGACAAGACATACTTCGAGAATGATCGCCTGTTTCAGCAAATCCACCTCGAGCTTGCTCTGAGCTCTCCTCCAAAGCAGAGACAAGATCATGAACCAGTTCTTCCATGGTTCGACTGAAATGCCTACATTTTTAAAGAAAGGAAAAAAAATAACGAAAATAGTGTTAACTGTATTAACCTAGTTTATTATAGCAGACAATTCACTCTAAGTGTAAAATTAATAGTTATTATAAAGAAATGTTTAAAAGCTACTTAATTTTTTAAATTAAAAGCTACTTAATAGTTTTAAGTATTCTGACTCATTTTTAAGCTCCTTTTTCTTGTGTAAGTTCTTTCATTAAAAATGGGAATTATTTCAAGATACAGTAAGCATAGTATCAGCAGTGAAATATCCCAGTAATTTCATATTTTTACTGTGTTAATTATGGAAAAGTTATTTCTGCTTAAATCATTGTTCATTAGTCTACTCCTTCCCTTTTCTTAGTTTTCCTCCAATAGATACAGAACTTTCTCAATCCTTCCTCCAAACGCCCACATCTCCCTACGATTTCTAAATGAAAAAGGAAGTTGTATAATTCACGACTCACCACATGCTCTACCCAGTCACTACCATGAAACATGAGGGAGATGGAAAGACTGACAAGTACTTTCAAGATTTGTAATATGTGCAAAAAAAAAAAAAAAAAGACTTTAACCAGATACTAGGCCTATAATTAGGCCACACTAATCTCGTAACTCAGTCAAGCAGAAACTATGTTCTTATTCAAACTGGAGCTTCACTGGTCTAAAATGGCCCATCATTTTTCTTATAATTCATTCTGAGACAGTCTCTCAGCTTTTTTTTTTTTTTTAAACAAACAAAACCCATTGAACTATGTATGTTACCAGTGAAAAATTTATCTACTTATCAGCTAGGATAGATATTAAGCATTCTTTAGGAACTTCTACAAATTATACTGACCTTTCTAAACCCAGCTCCCAAAGATTCTACATCAGTTGGTGATGGAGCGCCCAAAATTCTGATTTTGTATCTTTCTCACAAAGATCATTAACAATCATTTCTGAGTTCTAGGAACATGGAGCAAAATATTCTCAACTAGAGATGTCTATATAATTTCTAAGTGTATAGCAGGGGTGGGCACAGTTTTCTGTAAAAGGCCAAACAGTAAACATTTTAGGCTCTGCAGTCCATTAGGTCTCTATCATAACCATCCAACTTTAGCCACTGTAAGGGGAAAGTAGCCCTAGGCAAGGCATAAATGAACGGGTATGGCTATGTTCTAATAAAATTTTATTTACAAAACCAAGTGATGGCTGGCCACAGTTGGCTGACTCCTGGTTTATATAGTCTCTACAATCTATAATTTTAGGCATCTGCAAGTTCCCTATAATAACTTTTAACTTTGTCTTTTCATTTTAACAACCTGAGAACACACACACATTGTGATTCAACTGGATTTACTACGTAAGATGATATACACACACATACAGCTTCTAACACAAGTACTTACTATATGCTAGGCCCATTTTAAGTGTTTTATATGCATTAGCTCATCTCATTGCATAACTCTATAAGGTTGTATATGAGATACACAGAGACAGAAACATTAAGGGCCATTTGCCCGAAGTGACACACCTGGGAAAGGGTAGAAACAGATTTCAGACTCCAGCAGCCTGGTTCTAGAGCCTGAATGCCCAACTTAACTATAGCCAAGAACAGCATTCTAGAGCTACACAATTCCAGTGTCCAGTCTGCATTTTTGTTTTTGAGTGATGGAGCAGCAGGTGATACTATTTTAATTGTTCAGACAGATTTAATACACATCTATGTAAGGCAAATGACTCACAGTTAGGCTTTATATTCTTCTGAACAGAAGAAGGGAATGGGAGACCTGAACAAAAATAAGGCACAGGGCAGTAAAGTGGTGAAGGTACGCTGAATCTGAAGAACCAGTGCTGTAGCCATCAATAAAATGTACACTGTGACCAATTAACTAAATGAACACAGTTGTTCATTTAATGTCGGTTTGTATTTCCCAGATCTCCTTCAGCATTCTGAATGAATAAAAACCTGTATGGACACACATTTTTAAAAAATGTGGTGATTCAAATATGTATTTTAAATAAACTCTGGAGAACCACTAAAAGGGTCCTATATATTACTCAGGTTTCAGGACTTTGCATTTATTTGAGTATAAGAAATATGTGTCACATAGGAATTAGCATTAAGCCAAAAGAAGGGCTACAAATCTGACTACACTGATAATCCAAATGGGTCTTTTCTCCATTACCTCTACAGTAATAATCACCTTTTTGTTTTCCTTTTATTACAATATATTGCTCATTTCCTTTAATAATATTTCTTTGGAAGAAATGCAGTCTGAAAGACCTATTATCTCTGAATATAATATTGCACCTTTAATAAAATTCACTGGAAAGCAGTTTAACAAGTATTTTAATAAAGATCCTTTATCTAAAAAAGGACTCAGTATTACCTGGTTCTCAAGTAACTTAACTTTTCTAAGATTCAGTTTTCTTATCAGAGATGAATGACTAGATCTAAATATTAATGTGAAATTAACTTAAAGCATGAATAGAATCTCCACCTAAAATTGCAGGTTACTTTGAAAGTTAAAATCTAGCGCTTTACTTTAGAAAGGAAAATGAGGCGGTCCTAATGTTAGATAAAGGTCAGTAATTAGATTCAATCCATTGAAATTTATCTTCAATTAATTTCATTTAAAAAGTACTGCTGTAATAAACATAGCTTAAGAAAATATAACTGACAGTATTACTAAGAATGTAAGCAAGACTTCTTTATAACATCATTAAATTTGTCACCTTAGTTGATTTTATATATTTTTTTAAGAAGATAAAGTATCTCAAAAAACTTTCAACCAGAAGAACCTAATTTATTCCATGAGGCTACTCAAATAGGAATCAGATAGGACTATCAATCAAGTAAAAGAATTACTTTAAAAAGACTTTTTGGGGCACCTGGGTGGGTTGGTTGGTTAAGGTCTGCCTCTTGGTTTTGGCTCAGGTCTTGATCTCAGAGTTGTGAGATCGAGCCCCGTGTCTGGCTCTGTGCTGGATGGGGAGCCTGCTTGAGATTTTCTCTCTACCCTCCCAACCTCAAAAAAAAAAAAAAAAAAAAAAAAAAGGAGAGAGAGACTTCTTAAAAACCCCATTAAAAAAAAAAACAGAAAAAAAATACATTTAACTAAGTGCTACTCAGAATTCAAATCACCTTTTCCCCTTCAGTTTCAACTAACCAGACTTCTGCAAGCCAAAACCCCTGTTAATGAGCCAGTAATATTATAGTCAGTCAGTCAAGTGGCTTCACTTGTATCTCTAGGGAAAACTGACATCAACTGGCCTCACAGAAATAAAGTCACTGTAAGAGACATCGCATGATCAACAGCTCATTTACTTCCTTGGTAGTTATGCTGAAGATTATTGAATGGAAACACTTTATCTTCAAGATATTTTCTTAAATAAGATCTTTCCTATTGAAGAGAAAACCTGGAAATATATAGCTTTCTTTCTAAAAACCTACGTTAAGCATTCGTAGTTGTAAAGTTTAAATTACAATAAAATTCAGTGAATTACCACTTGGTTAATTTGAATAATAGTCACATTTATGAAACAATTTCTCTTCATTTGGAATTCAATGGAAATGATACCTTTTGAGAATAGTCTGGTTGGGTATGATATCTAAGATAACCATTAACTAACAGTTTTCTTAAAATACTCCAAAAGAATAGAATTAGATTACAGTCCCACTATCTATGTAAAGTTGGATTTTGTAAAAGGAAATGACTTGAGTAGATAAGCATTTTGGTTTTGTGTAGGTGGTATTACATTACGTAATGTTTCTGGTTCAAGAAAAAGACCTAGGAAGCTCTTAGTCCAAACTTAATGTTCATTTGTTCCCAAAGGACTGGCAGTTAACTGACAAACCAGGGACTCTCAAATATCAGTCAACAATGTAAAGGCGGGGCAGAGCAGATGATACCCAAGAAAGCCTCCCAAAACTGATCCCTCCCAATAACTAACAGCTAACTACTCTCTAGACAACTATTACTTTTTGAAGATTCTCTTAGCAGTAACTACTATTCCTAAGAGGATAAAATATAGCATCTACAGAAGAATTAGGGAACAATTTCCTTGCCTGGACACTGATAAATATAATTACATAATAAATGACAGATATGTATGTCTACTGAAGAAACCCAAGTTCATTAAAAGACAAACAAAAATCTTTCAGATGTAACAAATAGGGTAATTGACTACAACTGTCAAATATCTAGATAAGGAAAAAGAAATCAAATATTCCTTATCACCTAGTACATGGTAAAATTCTCATCTTCATCTCTGTAAAACACAGACTATTTCTTCTACAAAGTTAAGTAACTCCAGCAGTGGAATGCTAAAACAAAGTTAAGTGCTGCTAAATACAACAGCTTAACTGGCTTTCAAAAATTTAAGGAAACAGTCATTTCTGTCTTAGTTTCTATAGGATTAAAAACTCAATATGTACAATTAAACAATGTATGAGCAGAACCAAGTCAAGAGTTATGATGATAAATGTACACTATGACTGGTCATAAACTTAAGAAAATAGTCTTGGAATTACATGTCTCGATATTCATGTTAGCTTTTACTTAAGAAAGGAGTTTGGTCATAAAAGTACAAATTAAAATTAACACATAATAGTATAGATCACGACAATGGGTGATTAAACATGCAAACGGTGATCCTTAAAGATGCCATATCAAGGCTAAATTTCATGATGAACAAATATGACCTGTGAGAATTATTTTAAGTTTGATGAAAATTTCTGCTGCTTATGAGAATTTATAAATTCCTTCTTTAGTGGTAAATATATTTGTCAACATAAGTCTTTATCTCAGCTTAGTGACCTATTAAATGATGAACAGAATTGTCTCCTTTAAATATTTTTGAGAAGGTCATTTAGGAAAAACAGAATAAGCCTAACATTAAATGTTAACATTTAAGCTAGTTTTGAAATTCCTTGACCTATTTAAACCAGAAGTTTAATCAGAAGTAAACTTTTCTCTCTCTTTTTGAAAGAGGTAGCAGGGAAGTAGGGGAACGTACCTTATTACAAAACATACAAATAATTAGTTATAACTTTACATGAACACTAAGCAATGCGTATGGAACAGAATTCTCTAGGTGGGGGGGAAAAGTTGGGAGGAACCTATAGAGAACACTAGCTTTAAAGTCAAATTTATGAATTTGGAAGCTAAATTTGACTATATTCATTAGGAGAGGACCATGAACAAATTACTTATCTTCTGATTCTGTTTATTCATCTTAAAAATGGTGTAATTTCTACCTCAAAGGGATTCTGTGGGATGACAGTGGATACTTGTGTGAGAGCAGTTATTTCATCTTTCAACAATCCCTATTCGCAAATAAAGTAGTCACTGAAATACCGAAGCGTTTTGCTTTTAAGTAGAACCACACTATGAATCCCGAGGATATCATAACAAAAGCACAGATCTTATCTGGTCCATGTTCTTGCACCACTCTGAATCATGGGAAGAAGGGGAATAACAGACATTTGCAAAAGTCTTGCATGCAATTTCAAGAAATTCATCATGCACTCTTAAAAGATTTCCAAGGATCTTAAAAAAACAACAAAAAATTAATCCTGTGTATCTGAGTTAGTCCTATCTTGATAATAAACGGATATAAGAAAAAATAAATGATAGAAAATCATCCTTCCCAGTTAAGAGTCCCAGGTTCTCAACGAAAGAAAAACTCATTTCCCATAACAAGAGCAAAAGTTCCACTGACTTGTGCTCAACTGGACGTGCTAAGGGCAGCTGCTATTTTGTTACTTTTGTTACCACCAGAAACACCCAGAAAGCTTTCTTGCAGTCCTTAATTAGCAATTTTAGAGGGGGGGGGAAATCATACATGGCTTTAGAAAAAAGTGTTAATTCTACTTTCCAAATAGTGATTTAATAAAGCAAGCTCACTTCTTATTTAAATTTGAAAAACATTCTTGTTTTTAACTTCACTTAACGACTTCAAGAGTCATTCAAAACTTCTTATATTCTAATCACTTATGAAATGTAAACTACTGAATATGAAGCTGCCTAAATGAAATAAAGTTGAATTCTATAAAACGAAAATAATTTAGTGTCTAAAAAATAATTCATTCCAATTCTTGTCAACATGCATATATTAGAGCACATCTAGGCAAGCTCCTAATATGTACAAGATGAGTCTCATTCATTGCTCATACATGGCACTATTCAGTATTTATTGAATATATAATACATTCTGAATTCTAAGAATGAAGACAACTTAATATTAATTACAAGTATCTAGCATAATGCTTGAAAAATAACAGACGTTAAAAAAAATCTGTTGGATGAACAGACCAATGAATGACTAAATGAATGAACGAATAACAGGGAAAGTATGACTTCACTAAAAATTCAGACAATTCAGATTTCAAATTTTCTGCCACACTAACACGCCAGACACTCTTAATTTTTTAGCTAGGTAAATATCTTTCCAGCCTGCCACAGGTAAAAATGCTAAGAAGCTATACTAATATTAATGAGTTACTTGGCTAAAATCACAGTGGCCATTGCTTTGATCCCTAAGTGTTGAAACAGAAACCTGACTCAAACATATAGGACAGTATGGAACTGACCTCAAGATAAAACACAGAAACATCCCAAAACCAAAACAAAACAAAAGAAAAGGCATTTATTGGGTCACCTGGGTGGCTTAGTCGTTCTCCATCTGCCTTCTGCTTGGGTCATGATCCCAGGATTCTGGGATAGAGTCCTGCATCAGGTTCCCTGCTAAGCAGGAAGTCTGCATCTCCCTCCCCTACTCCCCCTGCTTGTGTTCTCTTTCTCTCTCTATGATTCTTTGTCAAATAAACAAAATCTTAAAAAAAAAAAAAAGGAAAAAAGGCATTTATTTTTAAAAAAAAAATTCACATTTTCCCCTTTGCACTTTTTCAGACCTAAAGATCCAAATATGAAATAGGAATGAAACTCAGAAAAAAGAAAAAAAGATCCAGAATCAATATAGTTTATTTCTTAAGGCTTTTTTTTTTTTAAAGCAAGCCACATAAATTTAAATTAATAGTTCAGTATAATGATTCAGTATCTTCATTATCAAGGATTTACTTGAAAATTTGTTTACCTCGACCTTTAAAATCTTAAAAACAAACCAGAAATTGACTTTAAATTGACTAATAAAAAGTAATAAAAATGTATCTAAATTATAAAGGATTTGTCCATTAAATGAATCAAATTTTAAAAGGAAGGTTTACACTTTAAGTACCAAAATACTTGTGCTTTTTGGGCCCTAATTTCAAAATTGTATGTGAAAGATGAGGCAGGAAAAGGAGACAGACACACTCAACAATATTTTATAAAAATATAATATAAACCACTTACAAGAGTAACTTGCACAAAAGTATATTTATTTCCTGACATACACAAAATCTTAGGATTTTTATTATTTAATTGTATAAAACTTGACTTCAGTAGGAATAAATTACAAAATAAAATAACAGTTCTATTTTTCAACAAATGTTAAAAGAGAGCTAAATCATCTACTATTTACCCATTTGGTGCCTAAAAACTGAAAATCTAACCTCAACGTTGGAGAAAAGTTGAAGTCAATATGGGGGGTAAATATAACAGGAATTCTAGGTTAGTTAACAAATCTGGGCATCTTAACAGTTCATATATTCCTATAATAGTGTATCGAATTCAGACAAATTAGATGTATGCCAGGATGGTTAAGAATTGGTTTTAGATATACCGGAATCATGCTGCAAATATGGTATTTGGTCTAGTTATTCAAACTATATTTGCTCCTGTTCCATCATTTCTAAAATGCAAAAAAACCTGATAGCATCCATCTCAAAAGATTTACGTGAGATATACATCCATAAAACCTGGCATCAAGTAATGACTTAGTAGTAGCATCCCTAGTGGCACTGGGATTTCATAACTGGGATAAAACATACACTCATAGTATGGCAAATGTCTAATCAATGAAGGAAAAAAAGAAAATTCCATGGAGAAATCCCCAATTAATGGGATGGCTGTACAGATAAACTAGAAAAATCAAGGTACCAGTTTTCTGTAAAGCGTTTTTTCTAGCAAATCAGGGATGATTTTTAAGAATTTCATTCAGAAACACTGATTAAGCGCTAGGCGCTATGTTAGACTCTGATGCCATAATAAAGAATGAATTCTATCCTGGTAATTGAAAATAAGATAGGCACTTTAAAACAATTGAAGGATGGTTTCTCTGTATCCTATGGAGGTACCTAACTATAATTTGGGTAGAAGGTAAAAGGGACAGGAAGTCATACTTTTTAATTAAATAATCATCTATCCTACAAATCAGTATCACCACAGTAAGAGCAGACCAATCTATACAGCACATTTTGTCTTGCTCCCTTAACAAGGTATTGACTGGATGGTAAACATTAAGAAAGGTACCTCCTAGATTACTGGAGAGGGAATTCAGGGGTAATGGAAATGTCCTGGATCTCGTTTTGTGTGGTGATTACACAATATATACGACTGTCAAAACTAAAAATACTAAACACGTGAGAAGGGTTTTATTTTATGCTAATGCCATATAACACCATTTAAAAAATATAGCTCATTTAAAAAAACTACTCCCTGCTTTCTCCCTGGAAAATGTGAGAATTTAAAAGTATAACCAAATCTGTCCCCACTATGAAAGGAACTACAGAATGATTTAATCTCATTCAAAACATTTTAGGCAAGATAGTCTTAACTTTTAGCAATAAGTGATGCAAAGAAAATCTTTGAGAACACAGACTACTATAATCCCTCATGGTCTCATGGTCTCATTCACTGCAGAATCTAAGAATGGACATACATTTTTTTCAGCCACAGTTCACCTGTTTTTCAATCTTTCGTGTTTGACATTGACAGTAGGAAATCTGCATACTTGTTTCACTGCTTGTTCTATCTATACTTGAAAGAACAGGGCTGGCATCACAGAGTTCTCAAACAGAAATCCAAAACCTAGCTTCTAGCTCCAGAATATGCATGGCAATTGGGGGCAACTCATTTAAATGTTCTGTGCTCGTCACAATCTCCTATCACAGGACTGTCCCAAAGAAAAAGCACATTAATTTGTGAATGCACTTTGAAAAGTCAAAGCAATTATTCCAAACTGGCACTAGTGATGTGGTACCGCAGGCATAGTCAAACCCCTAACCAAATCCTGGCATTTATATGTTCTTAGGGAACACACAAATCTCATCTGAACTAAATGGAACGTTCAAGGAACAGAAACAGGTCACTCCCAGTGGGAAAAAAAGAAAAAAAAAAAAAGGAAAGAAAGAAAGAAACGGGAGTGTGTGAAGAGGTCTCTTCCAGTACTAAAGTTCTAGAACTCTAGAATACCGGGATTTGATCTTCCAGGACACCTGGTATAATCTGGCAAATTAAAAACGGGAAGTGAGGGAATAAGGCCTGTATCAAGAGAAATTCTTCTGTCCCTAGCCTTGTCAACAATCAACGAAGAAATGAACTGCTCTCGAAGTACGGAGACCTCTACTCCCAAAACATCGTGGAGTGTCAGGCAATCAGCAAACGTTCACTGTGTCTCTTCACAAATCTTTAGCGCACACAGCTCCACGCCTTCCTCAAATCGCTTCCATCCCAAGCAGGAGCCACAGCAAGGCCTAAGTGTCTTCAGCTCACCCATCCCAACTCCCTCCCCCTTCCATCCCAGGTCCAGCGGCCTCCGGCCATCACACCCTTTCCTGATCTCCCATCCCCAGGGCCGCCAGCCTCACCAGCTGTTCCCGGCGGCTGGAGCTCCGATCGGTTGGCGCCCGGCGGCCCCGAACATTAACGACACCCAGGAGCCTAGCCTCGAGGCTCAGGCCCGAGAACAGACTCCAACTAGCACAGCACCAGAGACTTCCAGAAGCAGTTCAGCATTTTGAGCTGAACTTCCGGAAGGAGACGGGAGGCGGAAACCGGAAGCCCGGAGCAACCATGACCTCTCCTCCCCACACCGCCCTCCGCGCCTCGAATCTCCTCCTTTTACTCACAGAAAAAAGAGAGGCGAATCCCAGGAACTTTTTCCTACGCAAAATTTCTTAATTTTCTTGCTAGCGTTCTGCAAAATGAAACGGAGTGGAAAATAAAAGTGGGGTAAACGAAAAGTTGAACCCCCCGGGACTGGCTTTATGGTTTAATCCAGTTGCCGTGGAGACCGATAGCAACACCCGGGCTCAGGCAGACGCCTGGAGGCTATGGCCACGTTAGCTCGGCTGCAGGCTCGGTCGACGTTCGTGGCACATCAGTACTACTACAGGAACAGGTGAGGCGTCTGCAGGGGTACAGCGCAGAGGGCTGTCTTCACCCCAGCCAGGTGTTCCTCAGAAGGAGTTTCCTGTTAACAAAATTCCCGAATCAGTAAATACCACGCACTTCTCCCCTTCGTTTGTTGGCCTGAAACTTATTCACAAGTTTAAAAGTAGTGGTGCCATTCAGGGAGAGTATAGATGGGAGTCGGGGCGAGACAGCGTTCCCAGCGTGAGAGGATTTAAGAAAGAGCCCACTAGAGGTAAAGCTAGAATAAAGTGTTTTTCTTTGACATCATCACTCCACAGTTTGATGAAACCAGTGTCCTCCCTGTTGAAGTTTTAATAGCCTGACGGGATCATCCCGGCTCCCTAGCTGGATGGGGTGTAGGGGTGGGCGTGGCGTGGTGTGGTGTGTGTGTGTGAGTGTGAGTGATCTCCCTGGGGATTTGAGCCTCCATTATTTCACAAATAATTGAACTCAACTGTTGTAAGGACTCACTGGTGTTCCCAAAGGGACAGTATCTAAACTTTTCTAACGAGATTATCAGTATCAATATGTTAACCATTAGTAGAGGAATAAGGAAGATCCAGGGTAGCCTTATCCATCTCTATACACCCAAACTTCTTCCTTGGGGAAGAGTTTTGTTTTGACCACGGCTTTCTGGAAGCAATGCCTCAGGGGATTTTTCCAACTTAAGAGAAACGGTAAAAGTCAGTTAGATAATGGTAGACGCAGGAAAAATGTGTCGATCAGATGGGATTTTGCTGAACTGTTCTTAGTCTAACATTTATCTCCCCTACCACATTCTTACAGCACTGTGTATTTCTTACAGTATTAATCAGAATTCAGTTTTACATTCTGTTTGGAGATATCTATCTTGCCTCTTAAACTAGAAGTGGAGAGTGTCTGTTTTTTGCTTATCATTTAGGTTTCTAGTGTCTGTCGTAATTCCTCATTCATGATAGATGCACAATAATTTTTTAATAATTCCATACATAAATCTTTGAATCAATCATTAGTCTTGGTTTAAGTAAACTACTAAAAATTGCTAAGGGTAGAAATTACTTATTATCTCTCTATTACTATAATTATAGATTAACACCTTAACCACTTATTGAGCATTCATTTAAAGGATGTGTCCTGTGTTCATGACATGCCTATATAAAGAAGTAAGCTGCATCCCTCCTGATGTTCACAGTCTAATATAGAATATAGGCATTTAAAAAGTAATTACAACAGAGTAAGGATGAATGGAAGTGAAACAACTAACATTTCTTGAGCACTGATTATATGCTGGGAATTTTACTAGGAACTTTTCATATAATATTTCATTTGCTTATCACAATGTCACATGTTAATATAGTAAACTCTATTTTTAGAGCTCAAGAACACTGTTCTAAAAAAGGCTGGTGAAATGCCTTGGAAATGCAAATAGATGTGATTTTTTTCCTGCAGATTCCAGTGTAAACTTTTGTCCCCATCTCTTGGCTTTTTGACACTGGATACATTTTCCCCAAATTGGAGATTACTTGGAGAAAAGATAAGAGCTATGAGAAGGCCATGATGAGAATAGGCTGGCATTCCTTACATTTCATTTTTTAGTAGTAGTAGTAATAGTTTCAGTATAAAGGAAAGTCTCTAAAGATCATGAAGGAATCAAAATTCCAAAGTTGTCCTAGTTAAAACAACAGCAGGGTATTGATAAATTTGGAGACAAAAACCATATAAAATATTAATATATGAAAAAAGGACACAGAAGGTTTCTTTAAGAAATTATTATTATTTCCCATGTGTTATTCACTAGATCAGCTCTTTGTAAATGTAGTGTACATTAGAATCACTTAAGGATGTTGTTAAAATATAGATTATGATTCAGTGGCTCTCAGTTACAGTGAGAGAATCTACATTTCTCACAGGAGTTCTTGTGAGGCCCCATTTTGCCAAAAAAAAAAAAAAAAAGACTGTAGAAAAAAAACTTTGTACAGGTCTATCATTTAATTCTTAAACATCCTTACAAATTACATATTTATTCCCTCTTTGCCTCAGGGAAGGAAAATTAGATTCAAATAGAGAAAATTCCACAGGCCATTCAAAGTAAGTTCATTTGATGGAAGGATATTAAGCCAAGAAACCAGAACAGGTGGCTACTGTACAGTTAGAATTAATGGTTTACACTGGGGTAAACTTTAATATAAATGTAATGAGAAGTTTTGCAGAAATAAAAATAAAGGACAAAAGTTATAACCAATTTTTAAGAAAATATTTTCAGTTAAAAATAAAATAAATGAATTTAAGAATAGTCACTACTTGAAATGTAAATGTTTTAGGAAAGCAACATGGAGGACATATCCAGGGGATTTAGTATGTGAATGGAAGTCACTGCAGAATTGGGGAGTGGGAGTGAGAAAATGACAAATTAATAATGAAGAAATAATCAAAGAAAACATTCCTAAACTGAAGAAAAAGTATGGCTTTGAATGGAAAGGACTCTGAGTACCAGACAGTATGTTATTTTAAGACAGTTTTTAGATATTACCTGGCAAAATTTCAAGGATACAGAAAAAAATTTTATAACCTCCTAACCTAAGACAGAAAAGAATAAAGTTATTTGCCAAGGAAGAGAGAAGCATTGAATGGCTCGTGTGCAATACAGGGATGTAGAAGAGAAAAGGACAGTAATTACTGATTATTCAAGGCAATATCTAAAAAACCTAACCCAGCAAAGATCTTATTCCTTTTTTTTTTAATTTTTATTTTTTTTTAAGATTTTTATTTATTTATTTATTTGACAGAGAGAAATCACAAGTAAGCAGAGATGCAGGCAGAGAGAGAGGAGGAAGCAGGCTCCCTGCCGAGCAGAAAGCCCAACGTGGGGCTCGAACCCAGGACCTGGGATCATGACCTGAGCCGAAGGCAGTGGCCCAACCCACTGAGCCACTCAGGCGCCCCATCCTTTTTTTTTTTTTAAAGATTTTATTTATGTATTTGACAGACAGAGATCACAAGTAGGCAGAGAGGCAGGCAGAGAGAGAGAGGGAAGCAGGCTCCCTGCTGAGCAGAGAGCCCGATGTGGGACTCCATCCCAGGACTCTGGGATCATGACCTGAGCAGAAGGCAGAGGCTTTAACCCACTGAGCCACCCAGGCGCCCCCAGGTCATTCTTTAACCAGCTTGTAATACCAATTTCCTCCTCACTCTTCCAGCCTATGTGATAATAACAATTACTCTGGAGGCCAGTCTCTTTAGTGACCCTAGAACTCCCCACAGTCTCTCCCATCACCCAGTCCCAAAGACAGTGCTGTATGTTTAAAGTTTAGAGTACTGCTTGCCATAGTATTTTTCAGTTTTTAAAGTTTTATGAAGCCAAAGTTGTCAAACCGTTTTTTTGACGTCAGGGATTTTACCTCTCTTGGAATGATTTTTTCTCAACCCATGGTTATAAGAAAATATTCTGTGTTTACTAATAATATTTTAGAAATTTTATTATATTTTTCTTCACTGTGCAGTTGTAATTATGTGCATATATCATGTGAGAGAGGGGCTTAACTCTTAGTATAGAAATTGTCTCTAACCCTTAATTGAACATTCCATACTTTCTTTCCTGGTTTTAAATATTGCAAGACAAATTAAAGTTTTAAAAATCGCAAAGGAAGAAGCAAAATTGGCTTTATTCACTGATAACATGATCGTGTGTGTAGGAAACTAAGCTATGGGGGAGCCTGGGTGGCCCAGTTGGTTAAGCAACTGCCCTAGGCTCAGGTCATGATCCTGGAGTCCTAGGATCAAATCCCACATTGGGCTCCCTGCTCAGCGGGGAGTCTGGTTCTCCTTCTGACCTGTCCTCTCTCATGCTTTCTCTCTCTCTCAAATAAATAAATAAAATCTTAGAAAAAAAAAATAAAAAAAATAAACTAAGCTACCTACAAAAAAGATCTAGAAATAAGTGAATTTAGCAAGGCTGTAAGACACAATACCCAATATACAAAAAGCAGTTGTCTTTTCTACATAATAGTAACAAGCAATTGTTATTTAAAACTACAAAAACAATTCAGTTTATAGTAATTTATCAAATGCATGTCACTTTATTTGTTGACTTGTAGAAATCTCTTGTGTACACAATTTGTGCACAAAGGTATTTTATGTACAGCGTTATGTATAAAGGTGTTCATTAAAGCATTCTATCTTTTTTTTTAAAGCATTATTTCTAATAGGAAAAAAAAACAACAACCTGAAAATACCTTGTGTGTATTTGTAACTAATCTGATTAAATAAATTAAGGCTTATACACATGATGGAATATTAAGTAGCAGTTTAAAAGTGAAAGTTTTTATGTATAATGACAACCCCCCGCCAAGACAGAGACAGATTAAGGTTAAAAAATAGGTCATAGAAAAATACATAGTACATTTAGTGCGAAATTTTTATGTATTTATGCAGAGAGACACAGTATATGAAATCATAGATAACAAACTGTTAATAGTGTTTAGATTTTGAGATTTGGAGGATAAGCAAGGTTGATATTGTATCTTAATATTTTTCTCTATATTTTTCTGTACCATTTAAAATTTTATGTCGAGCATTGGGTATTTGTGTATTACTTATAAATAAATAGT